AAGAAGGAGGAGGAGGAAGAAGGGGAGGTGGAGGAGAAATGAGAAAGGTTAGGTAACATGCTTCATAATGAAGTGATTGATCTTACAACTATTGTTATAAATATATTGAAGTAATGGATGCAAGTGCCTCCTGAGATAGCACATCTCTTCTATGATTTGCCTGCCAACACTGTATGACCTAAATCTAATCATCAGGAAATAACAGATAAGCCCCAACCGAGAGACATCTACAAAATAACTGGCCTATAATTTTCAGAAACGTCAAGGTCAAAAAGCAATATGGAAACTGAGGAAAAGTTCCAATTTAAAGAGACAAAAGAAACTTGACAACTAAATGCAAATGGTGATCCTGGAAAATAGCCAGAAAGGAAATTATAGGAAAGGCTGATGAAATTTGTTAATGGACTATGCGTAAGATAATGATACTCTATAAATGTTAAATTTCTTGATATTGGTAATTGTACTGTGGTTATATAAAAGAATGTCCTTGTTTTTAAGAAATAAATTCTGAGGCATTTAACGGTAAAGTGTGTTAATTAAACAAGGAGGCCATTTGACTGAGATGGTTCTAATACCTTAACAGCCTATGTAAGCAAGCCAAAACCTAAGCGTGTAAAGACCTCAAGGTAAAGAAATCAAAACCTAAAGACAACTAATCACAAACAGCCAATTAGCCTTCCCCAAATGAGGCAAATGCTTAAGATACAGCCAATCAAATCATGTCTTGCTTTGCTTCCACTTCTTCCTCTATAAAAATCTTCTCGCCCCTGGTTCCTGTTGGTGGAGCGAGCTCTCCTAATCACTTCCGGGCTGGTGCTGCCTGATTTGAATCTATTTTTGCTCAAATAAGCTCTTAAAAATTGTAATATGCCTCAGTTTATCTTTTCACCAGGAGATGATGTCTACAATTAGTTCTCGAGTGGTTTAGAAAAAAGAGAGAATGTTAGATCAGGTAGGGCAAAATCTCGAAATCTAAACATATGTGCTCTCTAATGTGGATACGGGATATGAGAGTTCCTTGGACATATGCGTATTCCTGGTACGGACTTGTAACATTTCTGTAAGTTTAAAATTTTATCTAAATAAAAGTTATAAAAAATATGAAACAAGCAAGTTTTGTTCACTTTTGTAAGGGTATTAAGGGTAAAAGAGAACTGACAAGTTAAAATGTTGAAACAATTTTGAATTACCAAATTTGGAGGTCACCATCAAACAACCCTCCTTTGGATAACAAGGACTTCTGGCAGTAAAATACCCCCATTAAATCGACACAGGTCCAAAGGAGTTTAATGAGAGCCAAACAGGAAATGCTAAGCGCCATTTCAAAACCTTTAGGCTGGTTGCAAAATATACAGTTCCCCCTGGACGAGACCCTGTAGCAATGACTTCAACCTATGCTCCAAAAGGAGCTGTAGAAAACTAGAATTTATCCTAGAAAGTGGGCAAAACCTTTCCTTAAACAGCTGTTTATTTAAAACATTAATAAAAAATACCTTTCACTTTGTTGGATACCCGATGAGTTGGTCTTCGCAAAGCTGATTAGAGCATAAGAAGAGCCAACATGCCTTGAGAAGCTGTCAGTGGTACTAGGAAACAGGAAACTGAGGAATAGAGAGGTAAAATACCTTGCCCAAGGTCAAACATTAATGACGGACGTGATAGACCTAGGAATTGAAATGCAGGTGTCTCTCTCAAGAGCCTGTGTTCTATTCGCTAATCAATCTGCTGCCAATGCAGTAATGGTTCATGGATCCGTTCCATGATATTTTATAGAGTATCTCAATTTCCCTGTCGTCACAGCCCTAGAAGAGTGATGTCACTCACATCTCCATTTATACATGAGAAGAAAATGAGACTGAGAACTAACATAACTTGTTCACATTCACAAAAACTAGAAAGAGATGAAGGCAAAACACCAACACAGATATGTGCAATTTCAAAACCCCTGCCCCTTTTACCCATCAAGACAGCAAAAAAAGATTGCATTTTGAAGAATTGGCTATCAAGAAAATGATACCTGAGTGAACAGCAAGCTCTAAAGTAACTAATATTAAATTATCCCATGGGAACTTTCCTAAAACAGCCCTGAAGACAAAAGATGATTTTTTTTTCACTGACTCTATAAACATTTTCAGAAAATATTTTCATTTTAATCCAAAAATATACACACAGTCACACATCAGACCTCTTGTCTTTCCCTATTCCGTTTTACTGTCAGTGTTTTCTCTTCCCTTTCTCTCTCTCTCTCTCTCTCCCTGGTTCTATCTCTGTCCTTCCCTCCCTCCCTTCTTTCCCTTTCTTTCTCCTTGACTAGAGTTGTATAAAAAGGTTACGAAGGTTCCTGCTTCCCCCTAGTGGTATGTGTCTAGAAGTGGCAGTCACAATAGGAAAATCAGGAAAACTTTACAGACAGCAGGAATAAAATGACACTTAGACTCCTTTAGAGTTTTTGGAGGCAGGGGGGCAACGGGGTGAGAGGAAAGAACGTGTGATCACTGACAGTCTGTGTAACCTCACATGGCCTCAGAAAATGCACCTGTGACGGGGAAGTTAGACTATCCCCTTCTCACAGTTGTCTTAGGGTTGAGATAATGTAGTAAAGGGTCTTGAAGCACAGTACACTCCCAATAAGAGGTAACTATTATTTACTTTTGACAGCTCTGTAAGGTTAGGTTCAGCAGAGGTTCAGCACAGCTTACTTCTTTTCTTTCTTTTTTTTTTTTTTTAAGATTTTTATTTATTTATTTGACAGAGAGAGACACAGCGAGAGAGGGAACACAAGCAGGGGGAGTGGGAGAGGGAGAAGCAGGCTTCCCGCGGAGCAGGGAGCCCGATGCGGGGCTCATTCCTAGGACTCTAGGATCATGACCCGAGCCGAAGGCAGACGCCCAATGACTAAGCTACCCAGGCGCCCCACAGCTTACTTATTTTCTTAAGTTAACTCAGCCAGCAAGCTATAGGACTAAGCCCATAATCCAAGTTTTCAGACGCTAGTGCCCTTCCTCACACCTCAGTCTCCCAGATGAATAGGTGATAATGAGGAATCTTAAGAATTTTAAAAGTCTTAAAGGGATATTTTCATATACTACCTGTGTTTTCCATTAAATTAAAAAAATATGCATTTCAGTGACCTGCGGTCCTATCTCCAGAATTGGGTCTTAAAATTGCAAGAAGAGAAGCGCATAAAGATTTATGTCCGGGGTGCCTGGGTGACTCAGTCAGTTGGGTGTCTGCCTTCGGCTCAGGTCATGATCCCAGGGTCCTGGGATGGAGTCCAGAGTCCCCAAGTCCCGCATCAGGCTCCCTGCTCAGAGGGGAGTCTGCTTCTCCCTCTCCCTCCACCCCTCCCCCTGCTTGTACTCTCTCTCTCAAATAAATAAATAAAACCTTTTAAAAAAAAGATTTATGTCCAAAATATGTTCACAGATCATTACTTATAACAGTACAAAGTTGAAATCAAGCTAAATATATTTATTCAATAAACCTTTGTACAAATAATGATAATTGTTTTTATTTATTTATTTCATTTATTTCTCAGTGCCAGATGCTGTCTTAAGAATTAGGAACAGATCAAAGCATTCAGTAAGGCAGGTTCCAATACGTTCTATTCACTGATCAGTCTGCTTCTGCGACAGATCCATGGATCCATTCCACATTTCACTGCATGGAAGCGCCTCGGGGGAACTCTTGTGCAACAGTGAAAAAAATCATGTTTTCAATCATTATTAAATTATATGGAGATGTGCTTACATTAAAAATGTTAAGGGAAAAAACAGTATGAAAAATTGCATACTATATTATTTCAGTCCTAAATGTGTGTGTGTGTGTGTGTGTGTGTGTGTGTGTGTATAGCACTAAAATCTAAATCTAAGTAGTACCTTCCTCCAGGTGATAGGTTATGGGTAATTTTGTGTCCTCGTTTATACTTGTCTGAATATCCTGAACTTTTGTAATGAGACAGAACTGCTGGGGCACCTGGGTGGCTCAGTCGGTTAAGCACCTGCCTTCGGCTCAGGTCCTGATCTCAGAATCCTGGGATCGAGCCCCATGTCAGGCTCCCTGCCCAGCAGGGAGTCTGCTTCTCCCTCTCTCTGCTTACGTTCTCTCTCTGTGTCTCTCAAATAAATAAACAAATAAAACCTCAAAAAGAAGAAGAAGAAGAAGAAGAAGAAGAAGAAGTGCTGTGATCATCAGAAAATTTACATGAAAAACTATTTTGGGGTGCTAAAAAATACCAGAATTTCTAAGAATGGGCTTTAGTTTCTCTTCACAGTTAAATAATGAATCGGGAACTGTAGACGGGAAAGATTTGCAAGAACAACAATTACCCCAAGGATTGGGAATAGAGGCAAGATGTTCAAACTAGAAAGGGCCGTGCCCGAGAGAGGGTGTTTAAAGAGCACGTGTGAGGCATTAACTTGTCACACTGGACCCTACTTTCCATTGAGGTCAGCTGTTCTCACAGTAGTCGTTAGGATTCACACTAGGCTGAACTAGCGTGGACAGAAGATCTGATGCCTCCAGAACAGAAAACGGGGAAGAGCTGTGACCCCAACAGGTATAATTTCTGGATTGGAGAGCTTCAAAGTTACTGTGAAAAAGCACCAAGGAGAGCCTTCTTTCTGACAATCATCCTAAAAGGTATGTTGTTTCCTATCAGCCCCTTCTGGGCAGGGCCTATCAGCAGCACCAAATGCGCGTGACATAGGCCCACCTTGAGGTGGCATCTCCCCAGAAACCTGCGTGAGCCAATCATATCACTCGAAGTGGAAACCTGCAGCTCCAGATAATGTCACTTGGCCCCAAACACTGTACAGCGCGTGCCTTTCCTGTCTTCCTGAGAAAGTTAAGGTTGAGCTGCTGAGCCTGACCCTTAACAGGGCTTTGGAATTCCCCCCTACACAAACTAGATAAGGGATTTTATTTTTAACTGGAAACTAACGAGTTCACTTCCCAATCCCTTATTTGGTGCACAGATCTGTCTATTTCGCAGAGATTTCAGCTCCGCAAATAAGCTGGAGCTGGAGCTGGAGCTTCCCTCCGAAAAACCGCTGGTTGGAGGTGGTCAACAGAAATCTCAACAAAACATGAACAAGGCAAGTTCTTGCTGAGACTCACCCAAAGAAAATCCCAGAGGAGAATATTGAGCACTCATTTCAGGATGAAGCTGCAAGAGCAGAGAAGTATTTGTACCACAAGTGAATACCGTCCATTGACCAACAGAGGCAAAAGGATTCTCCCAACTACGGCAGCCCCCAGGATGAGAACCTGGTTCCTCCCGAGGTCGCTTCCTCTTCTGATGCTATTCTCCGCCCTGCAGACACCCACTAGGTGTTCTGAGGTAGGGCACAATTGAGGAGGTGATTTCTTTATGGTCAGCGCTCCACTGGAGCGGTTTCCTGGTGACAACCTTTAAGTGACTTTTAGTCACTTGGGATCTGATTTCATTCAGACCTTTTTTTAAAAGACTTTTTATTTTATTTATGTGACAGAGAGAGAGAGAGAGAGCACAGGCAGGGGGAGCGGGAGAGGGAGAAGCAGGCTCTCCACTGAGCAGGGAGCCCAATATGGGACTCTGTCCCAGGACACTGGAATCGTGACCTGAGCCGAAGGCAGGCACTTAACCAACTGAGCCACCCAGGCGCCCCTCATTCAGACATTTTAACCAATAATGCTAGTGAAGGGGGCACATGGGTGGCTCAGTTGTTAAGTGTCTGCCTTCGGCTCAGGTCATGATCCCTGGGTCCTGGGATCCAGCCCCGCATCTGGCTCCCTGCTCAGCGGGAAACCGGCTTCTCCCTCTCCCACTCTCCCTGGTTGTGTTCCCTCTCTCGCTGTGTCTCTGTCTGTCAAATAAATAAATAAAATCTTAAAAAAAAAAAATGTTAGTGAAGGGTGTTGAAAGCAATTCTTAAAAATTGTGGAATTCTTTAGAGTTTATAAATTTGGCGTTAATGGAAGCTAGAGGCATAATGTTGTTTTCTTGATTCTCCATAAAATTTAAAACATTGCTTCTGTAGGACAAATGATGCAAAATAAAGTCTATTTGGCTTTCGACTGTTTCATAGGGATCAACTCAAAAGAAGTATTATAATTTAAAGATCTATATAATGAAAACCTATTGTTAAGAGAGAACATAGTACATATTTGAGATCTAGTAATATAGTAAAGTGTTTAGAGCTCACATGATGTAACAGAACATGATATGATTGATTTTGTTTTGTTTTGACTTAAATAGATTCTGCAGACCTATTTGTAAACCTTCTGTAAAGAGTTATTGGTAAAGATCATTTAAGCAGTCTTAAAAATATGCTCCATTTTACACACACCTGCATGTCTTCTCATCATAAATAACAGTAAAACACCAAATGGTATGTTTTTGAGTTTCAGCTGCAACATCTTTGACATTGACTGGATGGAATCTTATCTCCTAATATAAGGAGTGCTGTTTATTAGAAAAGCATCGTTTCTTTGCCAAGAAGAAAACATCTTGGAATTTAGATAGTTGAAATTATGGCTCTAAAACACAGACTGGTGATACTTAATGAACTTGTATTCAAATCTCTAACTTCAGTTTAATATGGACTAGATATTAATAAGTAACCTTCAATTGACTACCCATAGGAAATTTTCTTTTTCCCACTCCTGGTTTCTAAGAGGAGGGACTGTCCTAGGCACACTCCTGAGCACTTTACCACTCCCCTGGTGGTGGGCAAATTTAGTTGATTGGTAACATCAGGAATAATAACTGGGCATTCTGAGTTTGACTCTGCTCTTTTTCCTCCTGGGAGTTAGCCTGACAGAAAAGGACACGAGCTCTGTGCTCCTCCATGACAAGAATCTTATCTTTGGGCAGGCCACAATCCAATACTGTCTGCAGCTCAGTGGGCAAGTCTGCCTTGTTCTGGGGTTTACTCTTAACAAATCTACTTGCCATCAGACCCAAAGATGTGTGCCCCAACAATTCAGCAGTAAAGATGATATTTTAACCTTCATACATGCTCTTTTTTCCTCAATTTTTAAATCAGATCCTGATCAGAAGAGAGGGCTGTTATTTACAGGGGACCCCTAGGGACAACCCAACATTACTCATCACTGAAGTTTTTTCTTAAATAAAGTTCAGAGACTTAATACAAGTTTTAGGTATTCACAAAAGAGTATTCCTTAACACGCATGACAGGATGTGAAGGGGGTCAATAGGGGAAACAAAGTATACATAAACTTTAAGATTATAATTTTTTTTCTTCAAACTACTATGCAAAAATACTGATTTTGGTTATACAAGAAGGGTCACTTCCTCCCTGGGGAGGTGAGTTTTTTTGAGCTTTTAGTAATAGTTATCAAACCAAATTCAATCTCTGGCACAGGTCCCTGATGCAGGAAGTACTAGGACAGGGTAATGATTATGAGTGAAACTTATTTCAGCAAATAAGTTTTGAGAAGAAGACTTGGTTTTATGGAGGATAGCAAGTCAGCCACCAGATCGACCATCTGATTTGAAAAGTTAAAGTCAAGATTTTTCTTTTCTTATAGGTTGCAGTTAACATTGACTTTGACTTGACACCAAATTCCTTTGATGATCAGTACCAAGGCTGCAGCCCACAGGTCACGGAGAAGCTAAGTCAAGGGGATTATTTCACAAAAGAAGTAGAAGCACATAGAAATTTCCACAGGGTCTGGGCGAATGCCCACTTAACCTGGCTGAACAGAGCAAAAGATCTCCCCAAGAACATGAATATTACACATGCTGTGGCCATCTTGGTTTATACATCAAACAATAGTGTCCGCACAGACTTCACTAAAGCCATGGCCAGTGCTGGGAGGTCTCCACAGCAATATAAACATTCATTCCATTTCAAATACCTGCACTACTACCTGACCTCAGCAATCCAGCTGCTAAGGAAAGAAATGGTCATGAAGAATGACTCTCTGTGTTTTGAGGTGCATCATGAGCTGAAGGATATCTATTTGGAAGCCTACAGAGGTGCCACCATCCGATTTGGCCAATTCCTCTCCACCTCCCTCCTGAAAGAAGACGCACAGAAGTTTGGGAACCAAACTCTATTTACCATATTTACCTGCCTGGGTGCACCTGTACAAAAAGTCTCTCTCAAGAAGGAGGTCCTGGTCCCTCCCTATGAGTTGTTCAAAGTTGTAAATGTGAGCTACCACCCACGAGGAAACTGGTTGCAGTTGCGGTCAGCTGGGAACGTGAGCACATATAACTGTCAGCTGCTAAAAGGTATCATATTATCGATCTAAATGGAATCTACTCTTATCAGGATCACAGGCCACTATTCTTTTAAAAAAGTTATTTTTCTGAGTGGGCTTATTGGGGGAAAGGCCAAAAACATGGAAATTGGCCTTCAGAAGTAGTGTAACTGACAGATTAGAGAAGACCTGCCTTATTTCTTGGTTTCCCTCCCCTTCTTTCTCCTCAACTACCTCTAGAAAAAATGTGTTTCTTCAGTGGCCCTAATATGTGGGGCATTCTAGACACAGAGAGTAAACCTCTACTGAAAAAGATAGCACATAAATTTTATTTTATTTTATTTTATTTATTTTTACCTTCACCCTCAAACTCGGTTTTGTTTTGTTTCTGTTTTTTGGGGTTTTTTTTGTTTGTCATGGTCATTACAGGAATAAGGAGTGCTATGAGTAAAGCAGGAGGCATGATTTATTCATTCACTCTTATCTATTACCCATCTTCTATGTTCCAGGAACTGGAATGGAAGGCATCAGGTGATATGAAATGAATAAAGCAAAATCACTATCCCAGGAGGAGTTTTAGTCTAATGAGAAATGGAAATATGAGCAAATGTCCACACTCAAAAGCACTAAGCAATATACCAGATGTTTAAGGATTGGTTGTGGCTTCTCAGTGTAGGAAGCTACTCATTCTCTCTGGAGAAAGTGAGAAAGTCTGCACGATAGAGGACCCCATGGGACTTGAAGTAGGAATGGGGGTTTTCAGTGAAAAAGTCATTTCAAGCAGAAAACAGCATATGTTGAATCACAGAGCTTTCAAATAACCAGTGTCTAGGGAATCTTTATAATTCTGGATGGCTGGAATATAGGAGGTATAGGACACAGGAAGAGGCGAGGAGTAGAAAAGGAATAGGGGAGGGGCGCCTGGGTGGCTCAGTCGTTAAGTGTCTGCCTTCAGCTCAGGTCATGGTCCCAGCATCCTGGGATCGAGCCCCGCATTGGGCTCCCTGCTCCGCGGGGAGCCTGCTTCTCCCTCTCCCACTCCCCGTGGTTGTGTTCCCTCTCTCGCTGTCTCTCTCTCTATCAAATAAATAAATAAAATCTTTAAAAAAAGAAGAAGAAAAGGAATAGGGGATTGATTGGGGTGGGGAGACTTCTGACAGGCCAGGTGGTTAAAACTCTTGTATTCTATGCTAAGGACTTTCAAACTTCATGCTGTAGGTAATGAGAAGTCATTGGAAGTTTTTAAAGAGTGGAGCATCAGTGAGATCAGTATTTTAGCAAGAACTCTGATGATATTGTGAAAAATGAACTGAAGCAGGAGAAATTGGAGACATCACAGAACAAAAAAATATTAAGATCTTTTTTAGAAAAATATGTGGCCGGCTCCATTCCATCCCTGTACGTTGCCAGCCAGAGTCCCTGCACAAAATGGTAGTTCTGTGGCAAGTAGCTGTGCCCTGTTCAATTTAGAAGGAAGATCATCCTTATCCACATGTGCATGTGTTCACACTCACACTTAACTGCAGTGTCTACCTTCAAAATATCCCTGATTCTTTCTCGACTCCATCATTATTGCTACTGTTAATAATTCAGGCTATCAGCATTTCTCAGCATTTGGGGGCTGCAGTGTTACAATGATCCTGAAATTGGCATCCATGCTGAGGTCTTGGGCCTGCTTACTCTGGCCTATCTGCAAACACAGACCAGGGGAGAGGTGACTTATCAATACTTTTATCTCTTCTTGCCTGTCCGTAGAAGTGTGGCAGGCAGCAACATGAGTGAAATGAGTATCTGTTCCACAGAACGAAGAGATCAGTGTTTGCAGAGGAGAATGAAAAACTAGAGTATGAAGCAAACAGTGAGATTTTAACACCAAACAAGAACATTCATAGCCAGTTTCCAGGGTTCTTTGGAACTACACTGTTGTTTCATCCTCATCAGGATGAAGTTGAGACAGAAAAATTTTTCTACTGGGTTGATGAACACAGTAAAATACATTAAGTAAAACGTTGTAGAACATTTACATCAAAGGGTAGGAAAATGAGAAAAAGGAGTATATAATAGAAACTTTTTTTTAATATTTTATTTATTTATTTATTTGACAGAGAGAGCACAAGATGGGGGAGCAGGCAGAGGGAGAGGGAGAAGCAGGCTCCCTGCAGAGGTAGAAAGCCCGATGCGGGGCTCAATCCCAGGACCCTGGGATCATGACCTGAGCCGAAGGCAGACGCTTAACCAACTGAGCCACCCAGGCTCCCCTGTAATAGAAACTATTACCCATATTCTCTACTCCATAAGTCTCAAAGGAAACTATTTCAAGACCGTCCCCACCAAACTAATGATCTTTGCTTTCCTGTCAGGAAGCTACTCAAACACAACTTGGAGTTAAGGCTTAGCTGGAATAGCCATGCACATTGCTAGACTCTGGAAGCTTGGCTGGTCTTGACCGGATATTTGAAATCACAAATCATACTTAAGGGAATCAGTAATCTTGTATTGCTCTGTAAGCTCTTTGTAGGTAGACATGTGACTACATGGTATTTAAGAGTCTGGCATGGAATCCTGGCAGTTTGACCCCGGATCCACTCTGTCTGGATTCCTCTCCAACTTGTACAATTTTTTAGCTGTGTTCTCAGTCCAGTTGCTTAAACTCCCTATGTTTCTTCAACTATGTAAGGAGCATCATAATAGAGCCCCTCAGGCTTTTGTGAAAATAAAATAAAATAAAGTAAAATACTGAAGTATTTTTACATGACCTAGCATGTAATAAATGGTAAATAAGTGTTAACCAATATTAATTTTAGTCTCCTGACACATAGAGGTGTTCAATCTACATTTGTCGAAAAAAAAAATCTGTATTTGTTGAATGAGTGAATAAATGAAGCATTCTCTTTCAATACTTCCAAGTGATCTGGTCTTTGGGTCAGATGACCAGATAACTCAATTGACTAAAAACAGTTTCAATATTTACTAGAAAGAGAAAATATTCTAGAAAGCTCAACCCATAGTCAAAAATAAGGAGCTATAGTCATGATATGACTGATCTAGAATGTGGTCATTTGCAATGTGAGTTACTACATCTAAATTTTTCCTAGAAATTCACCACTGTGCAGTCTTGGGAAGAGATTGTAAATGGCAGAAAAAAATGACCCCTGGTCGTAAAGGGTGATATTTTGGTCAGAGACTTTGCATGGTAGGCCAAGAGCTGGAGTTGGAGTGTCTTCCCAGCCAGCACAACTACAAAACTATTCAGGAGATTGAAAGAGGGAGAAGAATCAGCTCAAGTTGCAGGGATGCCATTTTTCCTTTGACTCTGTTGGCTCTGGCTGAAAGTTGCAGAGAAGGCTGCTCCATCCTCTGGTTCTGCTTTCCCTAAACCTCATATGGAAGCCAACTAGGGAAGCCTCAAGGCTGCCATTGGCTGGTTGATAGCACAGACAAGTTAGTTGAGGACAAAAAGACTACATTATCTTGAGATAAACACAACCAATACCCACCTATCTCTACTGATTACCAAAAAAAAAAAAAAAAGTTTGATTAACTTCATGATGCTGCAGTGGTGTTTGTTTGTTTTCTCAATAAGTAAGCTATTTCTGAAACTTTCCTTAAGTCATTTCTGCTAACTGACAAATAACACTTTACTTATCCCAACATCCTGGAGCAGTATTGGGTTGATCCATACATGAACAATGGGAGGAGGGAAGTGGTGTGTTTTTCTTTTCTGGGAGTCCTTCACTGGAAGGGAGTAAGATCAATGGACTCTCCCCAGACCTGCTTTTCTAGCTAACTGCTATTTTCTGCCATCAACCTCAGTCTAGGGATTCCCAGATGGTATTCTGGAAGACTGATATCTAATTCCTCATGAAACCAGAATCCTCTCAGGGAACTGTTTCTTATCCCTTCATTTTTTTTCCCCAAGCAGAAGCCATAAGCTATTCTACATCTAAAAAGTCCTCTGAGGCAATGACTTGTTTCCTCTCCTGTTCCCTCTTAATCTGACAGACATCATATTTGAAAGACAACATGAAGACCTTTAAAATTGGTCAGCCAGAACACCATAATTCTCCCAATGAAAAGATAATAGATTAGAGAATATAGCTTCCCCAGTCCCTCGATTTATTTCAGAATTGGCTCTGTTAACTTGTTAACTACATTTCTCAAGTTCAAAGAGTACCGAGGAATCTGTCGCGTTCAGAGTTAAAAGGTCAAATTGGTAGCATAATATATTTAAGCAAGGGCAATGCAAAAGAAAAATTGTATAAGACATTCTACACTAACAGCTCTCCCTTCTAATTCTTTTCTCATCCCTTTTGTGACCTATATGGTTACCATAGAAACAGATGTTTTCATGCCCGTTGAAAGACTCAAAATATGTTATGTTAGTTATTTGTCCTTAAATTTTGTTTTGTTCAGGAAAATAATCCGTGCCAAAAATCTGTAAACACACAAATACATACTCTGTTCTGTATCACTGGATTCACAAAGAAGGATTTATTTGTTAAAATGCTTCACATAATCAAAATTCTTAAGCATATTTCTAGAAAAAATAGTCAACTTTTGTAGTAAGCCTGGTTTTACATGTTAACTGTGCCAGTTATTAGCAGTGAGAACGTGGGCAAAGTCTTAGTCCTGTGTGTCTCCATTTCTTTATATGTAATATAGGGGGAAAAATGTAATGAAACCTCCCTTACAGGATTCTGGTGATGATAAAATGACTCATGCATGTAAAAGCTCTTAGAACAGATTCTGACACTAGTAAGTACTCAAAATTTGCAGATACTATTACTGTTACATATTATTTATTTATTAATTTCCTGTTTCCTGTTTTCTTTTACTCTGGGCTTTATCTCAAACTAGTCTTCCCTAGTTGTGGCATCACATTAACCTTGAAGTAGAGTGTCTGTCTCAGCCGAATGGATGAAAGAATGAGTAAATTGAGGGACGCCTGGGTGGCTCAGTTGGTTAAGCGTCTGCCTTCAGCTCAGGTCATGATCCCAGGGTCCTGGGATAGAGTTCTGCATCAGGCTCCCTGCTCAGCAAGGAGCCTACTTCTCCCTCTCCTGAGCCTGCTTCTCCCTCTCCTCCCCGCTCCTTCTCTCTCTTGCTCTCTTTTGCTATCTCTGTCTCTCTCTCAAATAAATAAATAAAACCTAAGAAAGGAAGAAAGGAAGGAGGAAGGAAAGAAAGAAAGGAAGAAGAAAGAAAAAGAAAAGAAAGAAAGAAAGAAAGAAAGAAAGAAAGAAAGAAAGAAAGAAAGAAAGAAAGAAAGAAAAGAGAAAGAAAGAAAAGAGTAATTGAATGAATCTAGGAGGCCACATTGGCATGGTGGAAAGAGACTAGACTTTGGAGCCAGGAAGGGCTGGGCATATATGTTAGTAGCTATTTGGCCTCGTATAAATGACAACCTAAGAGCTTGTTTCTTCATTTATAAAGTGGAAGCAAAGGGGAATATTGTGGCAGTACCTGGCGTCCACCCTCTCAAACACAACTGAAAAACTCTGGGAAAGCACTTTGCACATGGAAGTGGGATAATAGTTTAGTGGCACAAATGTGAGCTTCAGTGATATTGACAGTGAAGAAAAAAACAAAGGAAGACATGGAAGAAACAAAACTTATCCTTGTTTGAGTGCCAACTCTGAAGAGTAACACTCATTAATCTCCACATTTGACAGAAAGGGGCTCTAGAGCATTTGGAGCATTTGCCTCCACATATCAGATTAACTAGATATACTGCATATCAGTTTTAGCTTTTTCTGCTTTTTTCAAAGGATTGAGTATTTCTTTCTGAGCAATCCGATATAATTCACAGATTTGGAGTTCATGAAATACAGGGTGTAATAATTATATATTTCTCCCCAAACTGTATATCCTAAGGCAGCAATGACCAAATTTAGGTTATGATCCACCAAAGAAAATGATACTTATGTAGCAAATTTCATTCACAGAAGGTTTTCACACACATTATCTGTTTAATTCTTACAACCACACTGTACATTGGTTACTGACCCCACTATACTGATGTGAATACTGAGGTTGAGAGAGGTTACATGGTTTGTGTGAGATTATTCAGCTTATAAATGACAAAAGTAAGACCCTTTCCCATGTTTTATGACAAAAATCCCAGGACAATGTTCTCTACAGACTGCTTTCAGGAGATTAATTTGTTCAAAAATATTACTAAGAACCTACTATTAGTCTCAATCCTCTGTGACTGTGACTACATTATAACTCACTTCACACACACATAAACGTACCAGTACACACACACGCATGTAAAACAAGACAATCATTCACCATTTCACATGCTGTTTAACTCTAGTGTTTTTTATTCTAACCCATTTTATCACATTATTACAGTGATGGTCATGATAAAGCATTAATGCATCACAACCTCTGATTTGAAAAATACGAGGATACAGAGGGAATAAAAAGCATTGAATAGATAGTCTAGAAGAAAAGTAAAAAATACAAAAGTAAATTTAATGTGTTATCCTTAAATGAAAGATTCCGTAGATTGCATTTAATTCACAGATGTTTTTCATTTATCCACCTACATAAAGATACTGTCTGTGTAAAAATAATGATAATAACGATAATGATAAAGCATGAGGTAGAAATGTTAGACTGTAAGAGAGAAAAAGTAACAAGAGAGGGAAGAAAAGTTACTTTAACCTGAGAAAATAAAATGAAAGTAAGCTTTTTTAATATCCTCGTTATTATGAAGGGGGCTGAAGAGGTGGTTTTGAAGGATGAGTATGATTACAAAATAGTAATGTCCATATATTTGTCCTTATTTGAGCATCAATCATTATAGTAGCCATGAAGTACAGCAAAGGAGAATGGTAGTGACTCTAGTATTTCCAACAGTCCTGAGATGAGATGCTCTCATTTTACAGATGAGAAAGCTCAGGTCCAAGGAAAGTAACTAACATAAAGGTCAGCTAGGGACAAAGTTTCAAAACCCAAGCTAATCACTTCCAATAACCATAATTTCTACCCACTATATTGTTTCACTGTCAATCAATATTCTCTGATAACTCTTCAGTAGAATCATATCCTATTACAAAGTGAGAAAGGACAGAGACAGAGGTCCTTGTGATCTCAGCCTCAATGAAGAGAAAACAAAACAAAAAATTGTTTGAGAATTATTCTAATGAATGAGCTGTTCAAGTGGTATTAATGGTCTCGAGGTCCCTGTGAGAATTCAGATAATACAATTTTAACAGGAACTTTGACAAAAGCTTAGAAATAGGTATGCACTATTAATTTTCCTTATCTACTCTTATTGGTGAAAATGGATTTTAAATATTGTTTGTATATATAGAATTCCAAGAAATTCCAGGAAACTCAAAGGATTTTATGCATTATTATGTGAAAGTAATGGGAAAATACTTCTCCATCGTCTGGTCATCCTATCAAGCAATATATTCAAATATTGAGGCAATCACAGAGTTGAATGTCTTCCTACTCCCAAACATCTTTTCTATCCTAAATAGTCAGCGAAGGCTGGTTGAAAAGGAGATCCCACTCTTTAGAGCATTTTGCAATATATGGAGAAACAATACTGTGGCTAAAAAGATAGAGTTGAGCCAGACTGCCTGAGTTGGAATGCTGCCTTCACTGCATACTAGATGTGTGATGTTCGGTAAGTTTCTCCATGTCTGTGTCACTGTTTGATCAGCGGAAAAATGAGGATAATGAGAACAAATACCTCTAGATTTCCTGTGAGGATTAAATGAGCTAATTGATAGCAAGTGCTTAAAACACACACAGCACAGAATAAGTTGCTAATCAATGTTAGCTTTCATAATGGTGATGAAGATGATGGCAATTAAAATAGGGATACCAGTGATGGTGATGGTGCCGCTGATGACAATAAAGATGGAAAATCAGGAGATCTCACACACCGACTACCAGGCGGGTAACCTGGAGTAAATCTCTGAACTTGTTGGTGCTGTTTCATCTGCAAAATAAACAAGCTGAGTTCTGTTGGTTAGAAAAAATTCTAAGAGGATACTTTTTTTAAAGTAGCTAACTTCAGATATTTTTATTAGGAATTTTCTAAGTTAAAAAAAGTGAATCAAAGGAGAAATAAGGTAGTTTTTAAAAAAATAAACTCTGCTACCTAAAAGTTCTCTAACTTTGTGTTCGTTTTGACAGGTTCCAGCAAAAAGTACAACCCTGCTCCTGTGGTTATTGCTTCTCTCTCCTTTTTGACCAGTGTCGCCATCTCTTCCAAAAGTGGAGTATAAAGGAACCTTGTGGTTTTGCTTTCTCTGTGCCCTTTTGCTTGATGCCAGTCAGGGGCAACCTGAATACCCTCGGGGAATCACTCTGCCCAGGGATCACTCTGCCCAGGACTGCTGGCTCAGTCCGCTGCCTGTGAGTAGACCTAGAACGCAGTATATTTCTTCTCCATGGACACAGAGATTCACCCTGGAATAGAAAAGGACCCAATCAGAGCTGGTGAGATACAGTCATGGTAATGTTTTGGAATTGGGATTGGGAATGGGGTGTGGGAGCCTTTTTATTGAGTGGAGATTGATGAAAGCAGAATGAGTATGAGCCTACAGCTGCAAGCAGCTCTCTTTCCACCAGTACGGGAGACTCTATCTCGAGAATGGAGTGAACACAATGAAGGAAGAACAGAAAAATGAAAAGAAACAGTTCTGATGAGAGAATATGAGCCCCTAGCTGGAATCCTGGGCTTTTTAAAAATTACATAAATCAATAACTTGTATATTTGTATAAATAATTTGAATTAAATTTCCTATCTCAAGCAATCAAAGGAGTTATGATTGCTTCTTCTTTTTATTTAGCAATCCTAAATAGGAACAAATCGAGAAGCTTGAGTTCGAAAGCACAGAAAAAAAAATCTTCATCAAATGGAAAAGCTTTGAACCCCAGAGAAATAAAGTGGAAATTTTCTTCAGAGTTTTTTATCAGCATTCAAGACCAAACCAGTGTAGATTCAGATAGGAGGAAATATTGAGAGATAAAAGGGAAAGTTAATAAAAGATGTTAGTGAAATCTAATTTGTTGGCAGTAATGGGGCCCCACACATGTTTCTAAAATATTACTGAAGTTAGAATTTAAATTCATATGTTAATTTACAGAGGGACTTTATGGCAAATTAGATTTTAAGTCGTCATCAAAAGTTTAGGTACATTTCTTAGGAAAGCATGCAGATGTGTGTGGATATAAAGGAGAAGATATGAGAGGGAAAAAATCTGATAACCAAGCAAATATCAAAAATATATCAAGTCCTCACTATGTGACAGTAATTAAATAAAAGGAAGTATAAATCACCAAACTTCACAGCTGGGAATTTTCTCCAACTCCCTTCAGTCGTATACAATATAAATGGGGCAATGGGAATTGCCCTGATTTCCAAAGATCCGGATATTGGGCTAAACGGAGTGAAATTATGAAAGTCCATGCTACTTAGCCCCTCTGAGATTTGGGTAAGAAACAGTGAAAGTGAAATCAGCTCATTTGGCCCCAGCAGGACTTTCTAAAGGGACAATGCCATGAGAGAAGAGACTCAGTGGGGAATTGGCTGCATATAATTCCCCGGTCGAGAATTCAGGCATCTTTACACGGAATTTTGAGAACAGGGCCAAGCGCACCTCTGTCACCTAGCTTACATTGGCCTCTATACCTAATAAGGCAAGCATAAATTTTCCATAGACACAGTTTTCATGATTTATTGCCCAGGAATGTTGGCAGGTTAGTGGCTACTGAATAGAGTCTCATTGGCCTGGCTCTAAGAACAAGCTTTGTTATGAGCTTTAGTGAAGCAATAGAAAATCCTCCCAACATCTTGCGAATAATTTTTTTTCTGTGCCATATAAATGCACTTATTGAGCCATACTATGTACAAAACACCTTGGGGACTAAAAGTTGAATAGTGTAAGCCAGGTCTTCCATGAGTTTACAATGAAGAAAAGAACACAAGTCACAGAGGAAATACCAAAAGAAAGGGGAATACCAAGTCTTTTGTTCACGAGAGCTCAGAAGAACTTCTGAGGCAAGAGAAGAAGCCAGGAGGGCTTCAGGGAGGAGGCAGCATTTGAGCAAGGCCTTGGGACCCTGGGGTGGGAGCAAGGGGTGAGAGGAAGAAGTCAGCGTAGGTGTGTGTCAAGCGCTTAGTGCCGAAATGCATGCAAATAATAAGTGCTTTGAGTTTAGAGAAAAGTGAGATCCCTCTGCTATGATCCCTCTCAAAGTTGGATACAGCTTTCTACTGGAAATGAGGCTCAAGGGAGGGCTTCATATGGAAAAAGGAGAGCTGAGTAGAAAAGAGACAGGGGATATAGAAAAGATCAGTGTACACAAGGGTCAGGAAATAGATCTGGCAGAGAGAAGCTGTAATGTGGACTGAAGAGGAAAGAGCCACCCGATCAAGCTAAAAGGTCAGCCTAACACATTGGATCTCCATGAGAAATCAGTCTTCTGAGTAAGACACGCTTAGATATGTGATCTTAACGCATGCTCCCAGCACCTGGAGCACCAATGTCCCTTAAGAACACGTTAGAAACGTGAACTCTAGGGCCTGATCCCAAATCTATAAAATCAGAAACCCAGAACCTGTGTTAAGAAGCCCTCCAGGCTTGTGACATATGGGATTATGATCCATAAAGGAATAACCAGGTTTTTGAAAAGATAACTTATTTCTTCCTCCTGTTGCTGCTTTATAGAACAGATCTCCAGAGATAGAAGTTATTCTCTTGAACTGTGTAGATTTGTGGGTTAAGGATGAATGTGCACACTTTGCATTCCCTCAGTCTCTCCCTAGAGTCCTAAGTTTTTGTGCAAAAAGCCTGTGAAGCGGACCATTGATTTACATCAATTCAAAGTTCACGAAACGTTAGGAGACCGGTTTCAAAAATTTCACTGTAATTTCTGCTTTTTCATTCTGGGATATCTTTGAAGGTAAATGGATAAATTCACATGGATCGTTAAAAGAGTTGGCACTATAAAGTTGCAGACTATTTATCTCCTATAGTAATTGTTATTAATGCTTCTTTTTTGTGTACACAAAAAAATACTTTGGCTTCATTTATTGTTTTATTTGTATCTTTATGATCCAGTGTTCTACTATGCCTATCTGATTGTCCCGAGGTCCCCTATTTGCTCTGACTTTAAAAAATAATAAATCCAGTGAAAGAAAATTTCTGTAGAGCTTGATTTACTTGGAACGCCAGGATTCTTGGCCTGAGTTGTCTAATGATCTGAATCAAACCAACTTATACTTTATGAACCCAGATCTTGATTTGGTAAAATTCAACATTTAATGAACTAGACGCTTTCAGAGATGCCAACATGTACCAAACATTGGCAAGTGATAAAATGTGAAAAAAAAGGTTATTACAAGTATTACAGGACTCCCTTCCTTCCTCCCTCTCTCCCACCACCTTTCCTCCTCCCTCCCTCCCTCCCTTATCTTCTTGTAGTAAGTGCCCATGTGTTTTTTTATCTTGTTGTGCTTTATGACAATTCACTTCTTCTTTTCCACTATTGCTTCATTCAGTTAGATCACACTGTGCTCATGGCCTCTGAGGAGGAATGAAACTAGATATGAGGTAGAAACTAGTGAATCTTCCCCAGGTTGCTTTTCAAGACCTGAAGGGATGGAGAGAAAATGAGAGGAACCCAAAACAAAGAATTTGAGAGAAACACTAAATAAGAGTACCGGGTTTGAGAAGAGTGTGGCTTCCCCCACCCCCTGTATGTCCAGAGGCTGGGTAGCAGCTGCAGACAAGAAGTCATCAGAGTGGGCAGATCAGTGGTCCTTGGCGCTGGGAAAATGTGAGAGGTACTGCCCGCGATGGCCAGCCTCACAGGAGCCACCAGCATCTGGAAACCACCCACTGTTACTGAAGCACACATGGCCCATCCTGACCTCAAGCGGCTACACTAGCTGCCATTTCCATTGACGTGTGGTGAAGATCTCCCTCAAACTGCCCCTGGTCATGCTCCCAGTCTTTTTTTTTTTTTAAGATTTTATTTATTTATTTGTCAGAGAGAGAGAGAGCACAAGCAGGGGGAGAAGCAGGCTCCCTGCCAAGCAAGGAGCCTGATGCGGGATTTGATCCCAGGACGGTGGGATCATGACCTGAGCTGAAGGCAGACGCTTAACTGACTGAGCCACACAGGTGTCCCATGACCAGGACTTTTCTTGACCCTTGGCCTATTCATTTCCATGTGACTCTCCCAGCTGTTGCAATATCCTGGCACACAATCTTTTTTGTTTGTTTTGTTTTGTTTTTAAGATTTTATTTGAGAGATCACGAGCAGGGAGAGGGGCGGAGGCAGAGGGAGAAGCAGCTCCCCCCTGAGCAAGGAGCCGGATGCAGAGCTCTATCCCAGGACAGTGGGATCATGACCTGAGCTGAAGGCAGACGCTTAACCGACTGAGCCACCCAGGTGCCCCTCCTGGGACACAATCTTAAGACCGAGAGAAGGCAGGTGAGAACCTGAACACACACAGGTACAGAAAAAATAACAAAGTTAGAGCTGCACCTCCCGCCTCCCACTGAAGTATGTGTATTTTTGAGGACAGGGTAGCAAATGGATACCCTCAAGAATGTCCTCAAAATAAGCCAGCTATTTGGAGCTGAGAGAAAATGCAGAGTTTGCGTATTGAAATTCATCCTTTTTCCAAGCCCTATAAGCCCTGGAAATGGCCCAAATCCCCTTGGCCCTTGGCCACAGGACATTCTGAAGGTCTTACTGTTAGGGAGCAAAGAAGGGATTCCTAATTCAAAATTACAGCGGTGATTCCAATGACAGCCTTGGCTTTGGAGCTGAGCTCCTGACTCAGGCTAGCAAAAAGTGCAACTTCGAAGTAGCCACGACTGGGGAGGTGACCTGGCAACCTTGGTGGACGTCACTGCATCGCAGGCTAAAAACTACATAAACCGCACATCTGCTTCCCCCTCTCCACCAAATGCTCACAATTTGTTTCCCTTTTAGTTTCTCATGCTTTGGCCTTATTTTTAAGTATAGGGAAATATGTTTTATTTTTAAAGGAGAAAATGGGATTTAAGGCTTTAGATGAGAAGATGTTTGAATGAGGACAAAACTTAAGTATTCTCAGAAGAAAAATTCCACTAAAGAACTAGAGTTATTAATGGCTTTTCTTATTCTCGACAACGTTCCTGTTAGGTATCGTGTAGAATGGGGCAATCTTGAAAGCACACACTCTTTCCCATTGCATGAGAGCCAAAGACGTTCTGATAGGGCAAAGGGGCTTGTCTGACCTTTCTTCACCAATACAAGCACATCTCAGAAATCCTACTTCTCTGAGTGTTACGGTCTTTTCTTTGTGAAAGGTTAGAGCACCATCATTTTTGAACCTCCAATAGCTCCTAATCACAAGGCCTCAGTAGGAGTCAGACAAGAATAAATCATTTGCTCTGTTCTTACTCAACTAAGCAAGAAAACTATTACTCTTCATTCATTGTTCTCATTAAATTCTGGATAAATCATACCAAAAGTATTTAGTGATGGCTTATGATAGGTAAGGCACTGATAATACAGAGATTGGTATAGGAGTGACAAAAATGCAGAAGGTAGGGGCACCCAGGTGGCTCAGTCGGTTAAGTGTCTGCCTTCAGCTCAGGTCATGATCCTAGGGTCCTGGGATCAAGCCCCACATCAGGCTCCATGCTCAGAGGGGAGTTTGCTTCTCCCTCTCCCTCTGCTACTCCCCCTGCTCGTGCTCTCTTCCTCTCTCTCTCTCTCTCTAGCTCTCTCTCTCAAGTAAATAAATAAAATCTTTGTAAAAATGCAGAAAGTTATTTTATATGTTTCCTGGACCTGAACAGTAGTTTCTGCCAGATTATCTAACAATAATGTTTACATTTACCTGGACTTCACACATAGTATCTAGAAATAGAATTACCAAGAGTGGAAATTAGTTCAGGGTTATTTTAATTATGCGTTAAGATGATATGTAATATTTAGAGACTTCCCCAAATGTAATACATTACTTTGATATTCTGAACAAAATTTTTTTTAGTAACTCCCCTGTCAAGCAGGCTTTCTTTGATGATTTTTATTTGAATAAAGCAAAACTTGAGGTAAATGGTCTTCCAGATGACTACTCTTTGCACTTATGTCCTAATATAACACATTTCTGGCAGCAAAGGTCCTAGAACATACTCCCCAAATTCACAGGATGTGAACTGGTTTTCTGACAGAAATGAGCACCTCTGTTGCACTCCTACTGGTCATTGGCTTTCTTGGGCACAGGAATCTTGGATTCCATAGTACTTATGGCTTTTTTGAGGACCTCTAAAATTGGTCCCATAGTTTTGACAATTTGCTCCAACTGATCTGCAGCTGACTCGATGGTATTCTTGACATGCTCAGCTTTTAGCGCATCCTGCAATTTTTTCAAGATGTCTACTATACCAATTTTGGATTGACCCAGACTTTTGTTTTTCTCCGATGTGTTGGCATCTGATTGGTCTTCGGTGTCTTTTCTATAGAGGTCACTTAACTGAAGATTCATGATGGGATATGTCATCAGGAGTGAAAAAGAAGATTCCAAACTGCTAAGGATGTTACTGCTATTCAGGGCAGCGACAATGATTGGTGTCTGAACGTTTTTGAACATTTCTTTAGCTGACTGCTGCAACTCCTTTACATTGGTATTCTTTTCAACCATAGAGCAAACCGCTGTTGCAATCTTGGAACATAAAGGTTCCTTTTGCATCTGGTCATACTTTGCCTCCAGGACAGATTGCATCTCTTTAAAAATTGTGAATATTTGTTCAAAGACATTCTTAACATTATCATGTTCTTTCACAGCCATGGAGTGGATCTGGGTATTCATTGTGCTGTTAAACAATTCAATAAGCGTGTTAGTGAAGGCAACAAGATCTTGCATGTGAAAGAAAAGTGTTTTGGCGGCTTGCACCAGCCTCTCTTTGTCCTTTTCTGATTCTGAAGACATTTCTCCAACAAAAATGTTTCGGCACTGTAAAACAAAGTAGTAGTCCAGATGAAAACATAAATTCTATTTGTCAACCGTAAAAGACTGACCATATAATCTAAATGTGGAAAGTAACTCCTGTCAAGGGTAGGAAAGCTACACCAGCTATAAAGCGGGACTTGATCCTGTGCTTTAATAAAAATAACAACAAAAATAATTAAAAGACTAGAATAGGGGTGTTTCAATGAATTTAAGTCACAGAGCGAATATCGTGTCCTGGATCCTCAATTGGATATGTCAATATATGGAGTAACACTATTCTCAGGCATTACCCTCAATAATTATCCAATCTAGTGGGGAAGATTGTATAAAGCTTAAAAATTACATAGAAGGGCTCTGGTTCCAGTTAAGATAGAGCAAGCACACTCTGTCCAATCTTTCCTACTGAGTACAACTAAAAATCCTGGACAGAATATGTAAAGTAACTATCAGATAACTCTGAAAGGTGGGGAAGAGCAGACCAAAGAGATAGAGTACTGCACTTCAAAGAAGATCAAGACCATCTGATGCCAACTCCCAAGATGTCTGTCTTGCCTAAGAGTGTTTCTACACTTTCATTACAACTGATCCTCTTCTGCTATAGAGAGGAGTGTTGATGTCTCTAACCAACGTTCACAAGTAGAATTCTGGAGGAGATACAAAAAGACAGGACTGTGGGGCGCCTGGGTGGCTCAGTCGTTAAGCGTCTGCCTTCGGCTCGGGTCATGGTCCCAGGGTCCTGGGATCGAGTCCCACATCGGGCTCCCTGCTCGGCGGGAAGCCTGCTTCTCCCTCTCCCACTCGCCCTGCTTGTATTCCCTCTCTCACTGTCTCTCTCTCTGTCAAATAAATAAATAAAATCTTTTAAAAAAATACAATTTCCTGGCATGGCATTTAAGGTCATCTACAGATTGCTCTCAATTTTCCACTATTTCTCTTCCCTTCACTGCTCTCACGTATGTCCTGGGCCACCACATCCTGGATTAAGTTTGTGCCCTGAAAATGCTCTACAACATTTTGTTAGCTCCTTTGTTTATAGTATTCTCTCCACCCGCATTCCTCTCTTCCCTACCCCACCCCCTACACATCTACTGAAATCCTACTTATCCATCCATACTTACTTCAGAGACACTATCTACACACATCCTTCTTCCCTTTTATCCGCGTGCCCATACATGATAAGCTCCAGGATATGTCAAACGCAAAATGACCCACTAGGACAAAAGTAAAATAATACCCCACTTAGTCCTCCTTTAAAACTACAGAGCAGCACCTTTTAGATTTGTAGCTGGAGTCTCGGTTCTGTAACCTCTACCCACCCGATAACAACTGAAATGATCGTTGTTAATGTAAGACAAATGGCTACCATTTAGTAAGTTTTTGTCATATATCAGGCACTCTGCCAAATGCTTTATATGCATTATCTCATTTAACCCATATGACAATCCATCAGTTACAAACTAACACATCACGCCAATGGAAAAAAAATTAGATTAAGGGGCTTTCCCAGGGCTACATGGTTAGTAAGCGATACTTTGGGTACACAAAATCAGGACTGTCCAATTCCAAAGGCTGTGGGTTTTCTTTCCATTAAGTTATAGGGGACTGAGTGATTTTCCTGCTTCTGAGGTGTCCCTGCTCTAGAGGAATCAGTGGGGATGAGGAAAGAATCTAGAGGGAGAAGCATGGAAGACTCTGATCTAAGCTTTAAGGGAAAGGAGTCAAGCTGGACTTTAAGGCTTTCCTACTGTCAAGACATTCACCAACACAATGAGAGACGGTAATAAAGAGCTGAACTCCTGGCCAGGAAAGAAGAGCACACACACAAAAACCACATTTGGCTGCAAATATCTGGCTGTCTCTTGAGAATTGAAACAAAGGCATCAGCAACAGATGGAGGTGTGAATGCAACAGAAGCTAAAAGAAACTTAGTATCTGGAATAGCTGACAAGACAGAATCCTAGAATCCGAGCGCTGCAAAGAGCCATCTCCTCTGCTGAACTGAATTAACTCAGTTGTACAGCACTTTTCAACCATAAAGTCCATTAAAGAACAGAAAATTCAATGCTTTGCCACTTTATTAGCCTTTCAAATTAGATTACTTCATACATACTAAGTTTATATTAATATAGGAAATAGAAGAATTCTGAGAACTAGGAATGCAGAAATCGTCTATAAACCAGACAGGCAGAGGGACCCAGCAGAGACTAGCAAAGGCTGTAAGTCATCACATTCCATGGAAACATCCAGATGAAACCAGATGAAAAAAGCCCTTTAACAATATTCCTAAACAACTGCTGGGACTACTGAACTCAGAAACACAGCAAGGTAAGCGATATGGATATTTCTGCTAGTATTGATATGATATTCTGGTTCTCCGGATTAAAGGGTATTTGAAATAACATGTCAGTCTTGAATCCTAGCCATAAATATAATAAAGTCACAAGACAACTTTGTTTTAAGAGGACCCTATGGCAGTTTCCTTGTGATTATTTATTTCTCTGAAGACACCAGATATAGGTAGAAAATTAACAGCTTATATAACTGATTAAGTCAGAGGGGAAGAAAAAGCTGTAAAGACATCAATTTTAGAAAGGATTAAGGACAAAATGACACCTGTGTATTGTTTACATGGATTGTAACATTTCCCTTTATGTCTCTAACATCAATATAAGCACTCAGGATCTGTGAAAGAAGGAACGTGCAATCTAATACTAGTTAATTTATAGTGTTTCTGCTCCCTCATACGTTATATTACAGTTAAATGCCATCTGTCTCCAAATAGACTGTTACCTTCTTGAGGGCAAGGAACATTGTCTACTTTTTTTTTTATTCTTTAATGTCTTAAGGCATATAAGTAGAGGATTCTCACCTGAGCATTTGACAAATGCTGATGAATGTCATTGATATTCTGTTTTCTGGTCAGAAACATTCTTTAGAAGAACTTAAAAAGTGTCATCATAACAGCATCAATTTCTTTGTTTTGTTTTTTTTAATTAAAGGCCAGGGTTTTGATTTAAAATTAAAGGAGAAGTCTCAGAACTAGTTAGTAGCTGTTATTTTCTCTTGAAAAGTTTCTGGTTTCACCTATCTCCCATTCCAAAACTCCCAAATAAGTGAACTTGCAGGATAGCTAGCTGGACCCAATGTGGATAGTAAGGAAAGTGACAGCAGGGAGAAACGCAAAACCTCAGAGAACACGAATGACTCAATGTTGGAGGCTGAGACATGTTTTCTTTGTCACTCTTTCTTTAATTGTTACTATGGGAAAAGTTCAAACATACACAGCAGTGGAGATGATAAAACAATAAACTGCCATGTACCCATAACCCAGGGTCAGAAATTTTCAAAACAAGCTTGATCTCATTTCCTCTGTAACCCTACTCCACACTCCCTTCCAGATTATTTGGAAGCCAATCTCAGAGATCACGCGTATCATTTCATCATTAACATACTCACTATGTATTTCTACAAAAGCAAAAACTCTTCTTTTTGAAATTTAACTTTGTGCTTCCCAAATTAACAATAGATATTTAACAGAACCATCTTTGGCTTTGAAACATATATGGTGCCTTGCTATCAAAAATTTTTTTTAATGGTGGTATAAAAGTTTTTGGAATGCAATTTGCAATACATATCAAAAGTAATAAAAACTTTAATTCCCATGGATTATGCAATTCTTCTGGAAATTTATCCTGAGGAAATAATCCAGATAATTGAAGGGGGGGGGACTGTGTATTAAAATGCCCACTACAATATTGTGATAGGGAAACAATTGGGTATTTATTAAATTATGGTGGATATCTTATGGAATATTTTATATAATAAAATTATTACAAAACTAAGAATTTGGGAAGGTGTTTAAGTAAATTAATATAAGATGAAAATTGTTTTTACACTCTTATTACAACTTGGTAAAAATACCTACACATTTAAACAAACTTTAGAAGAGAACAACCAAGGGGTGCCTGGGTGGCTCAGATGGTTAAGCAACTGCCTTCAGCTCAGGTCATGATCTCAGGATCCTGGGATTGAGTCCCACATCGGGCTCCTTGCTTAGCAAGGAGCCTGCTTCTCCCTCTGCCTGCCACTCCCCCTGCTTGTACTCTCCCTCTCTGGCAAATAAATAAATAAAATCTTTTAAAAAAAAAGAAAGAAAAGAACAACCAAAAAAAATTTAAGATGGTAGGTTTATGGGTGTTTTTCCTTCTTTATTTTTAAAGTGTTTATATATTAGTTGTACTGACTTTATACTTTACTTTTTTATCTAATCTTTTAATTTCTTCATGTTATAATTCTACCATCTATCAGAAACACATATCACATGTCACTTTCTCCATGAAACTTCCTCTAATCGCTCAATATAATTTCCCTCTTTAAATTTTAAAACACTTGACATTTAGCTGTTATTCACAGAAGTATCCTGAGAGTTTTTTATTTGAATATGTGATAATCCATACATTTTCATTTTGGAAGGTGATTCCTTCCCCCCCCCCAAAAAAAAACTAACACAACTGTATAGTATTATGAAATAAATCTTAACTTTTAGAGAAAATCACCAATATATTTCTACTATTTCTCATACACTCTTTAACCTTGAATGTTGACTTCTCATTTCAACAAAATTGACAAGGTTAATTCAGTGAGAATCCGTTTGAGGCTGGTCTTTGTTTCCATTCCAATTTCCGAAAACATGCTGACCACTGGCATCAGCATTTCCAAGTTTCTTTTTTTGTGTGAAATAACAAGTCATGTCACATATACAATAACAATACGTGTGATTTCCAAACTTCCTTTTAGCAACAGAGCAACAGAACTCTCTCATCAAATAAAATTTTATGCACCCACAGTCCAAATATAGCAACAAGCAAGCTCTGCTGGTCCACAGACTAGGGTGAAATAAGCATGCCGGAGAGCAAGAGCGCCGCCTGCTGGCCAGCAATTCTCCGTCAGGCTGTCCTAGGGCTCTTTAGAACCTACCTCATGAACCAAGGCAACAAAAAATACACAAATAACAGTACAAACTCTGCAGTTCAGAAATGGATGGCAACTGTGCACAGTGAATTTTTCACAGACAGGGAGCACTACATCTGATAACAAACACTGTAAAAATCACATTTACCACAAAATGGTGCAGGTAGTAAGAACTGGATTAAGAATACCATTTAGCTACCTGAAAACGCCAATCTTTAAAATTCATTTATAAAGTGACTTGGAAATGAGTTTTCAGGGATGCCTGGCTAGCTCAGTCCATACAGCATGAGACTCTTGATCTCATGGTCATGAGTTCAAGCCCTGTATTGGGCACGGAGCTTAACTAAAAAGAAAAAAGTTTCTTATTTTATTATCTATTTTTTAAAGATTTTATTTATTCATTCCAGGGGTGGGGAGCAGAGGGAGAGGGACAAGCAGACTCGGCGCTGTGCGCAGAGCACAACGGAGGGCTCGATTTCAGGACCGCGAGATCAGTACCTGAGCCAAAACCAAGAGCCAGATGTTCAACGGAGCCACCCAGGGCGCCCCAAAAGAAATGATTTTTTAAAAGACTGAATTTTTAAGTCAATATTTAAAAGGTCATGCCTGAAAATGTAGTAAGATAGGGAAAAGTATATGGCTTTTCTTAGGTAAATACTACATATTGTTGGTAAGACATCCCTTAAGGCATGCCTAAGTAACAACTCGGATCTTCAAGAACGATGCCTCCAATTAATTGAAAGGCTTTTGTTTTGCTAAGTGAAGTAAGCACTTTGAGAGTCAGAGCTAAATTGTCTTGGGCAATAGTGGAAATGCTGCACATTGCCAACTGTTTTTCCATGTGTTAAATAACCTCTCCTCTAAATATCAAGCATGTATTTAAGAATAATAAGTTGAAAGGGAACAAATTATTAACCTTCCCTAAGTGACTGAATGTTTCCATATGGCCCAGTATTAATACATATTAACTAGCAGGTTGTTTAAAATTTGAATTTGCACAAATCAAGCACCAACCCTCTAATTTCAAATGACATAATACTTTCAACTCAACAAGTAGTTTTAAGTCTGTCTTAACTACTTAACCAGATTAAAAATGCCATAAAAGCAGGGACCATGTCCTTTTCATTTTTGTATGCTCTATAAAGCCCAGCATGCTACTTTATACATAGTAAGGTACTAGTCCACTAGATAAACAGTTACTGAATTATTAAACTGCTTCCTTCACCAGGCTCTTCAAATTTCACCTGCCCAAAAATAATTAATTAGTTTCACCTCGAAATCCTACCTCCCCCCCTTCCCCCACCTAGCTCTCTAATGTTTAGCTCACTGTTGGGATGAAAATAATTTTGAACTGTATTCAGTACTGGGAAGGTATGGTGGCAGGCCGTAAGGAACCCTCCCAAAGCCGTTTCCCAAGAGAAAAGGAGCAAGGAAGGTAAGCCCGACTCAGAACAATACAAGTCCTTTTTCATTAGATTTGAAAAGTAATTCTGAGCACTGATCATGATGTCTTACTCAAATTTGTTACAGGCATAAAATTATAGATCGATATCTGGAAACTGGGTAAAAGGGTATAAAAGTGCAGGTGTCAGGGCTTAGGTATATAAAAGAAAGAAATTATAATTGAAAAAGTACTGGGTCTTTGATTTCTGGTAAGATTGAAGTCTTTTCATCAATTAATTAGCTGCTATTCTTTTACTGTCCAGAGTTGTTTGCTCATTTAGCTATTAGATAACTACTGTTTTTCTAATTGATAATAACAGTCTTTAGAAATTCATAGTTCATTTTTCTTGCATTTTTCCCAGTTTCTTTTTAGTGGCTATTTTATCATTTTTTACAAATACTACACTAACTTTTTAAAATTAATTTTTAACCCCCAAAACTAGCCCATTATGCCAGGAACATTTATAGAACAATAATTTCAATTATTATCGATTTGAGAGTCTACGTTCATTATATATCTATTAAATGTATAGAAGGGTCTGTTTTTAGAACTATTTTGTTCCATGATTCCATCTACTCTTATATCTGTACAATACTAATATTATTTTTATAATGTTTTCATATTTGGGGAGGATAAAGTCCTATCAATACTTTTTCCTGGAAAAATAAGAAATCTTATTTAGTTTTGTTTAATTTTGCTTCAACTCTTGGAAGAAAAGAGAAAATAGAGTCCTCTATATCTGTGTGGGATCTGGGTACATTTTCTCAAGTAAACAGCATCCCAATTTATTTTTATTTTATGATTAATTTGTCAAGGTCTGTTAAAACAGTAAGTGGGAAGCAATTGATCACTTGGAAGCATTCAACCTCCTACCCAGGAGGAAGACTCATTTCTCCATTTGTTTATCGTTAGGTAAATAGAACCACATACCTTTTCTGGAAGCTGTGGCTTCAGATAACTGCAGATGATAGCTGCTAGAGATACTTTACACTTTCTCAGGCTAAGAAAGACTCCTCTCACCTAAATATCTGAATAGGACTGTAGTTGATGATCTTCTGAATTCAAGATGGAGTTTTCACTTCATGATAGTATCTGAAAACTAGGAGCCAAGAAAAGAAAAAAGTTGAATGGAAAATTTCTAGGAGAAACAAAGTCCAGATTCGTGGTTATCGAAGTGCAGTTTGCAACCCAATGGTGAGTTGTGGAATATTTAATAAACCTTCAACAATTTCTTTAAATGAAATTGAGATATTTTCTAAGTACTGTTTTGTGGAAATTTGTGTAACACATGGGTGTGAGTGTGGGTGTGTGCGTGTGCGCACACGCGTGCTGGATCTGAATCAAAGATACAAATGAATTTCTGACTGTGATAAAGTTTATTCTAACAAGGGTACCAAGGTATTTTTCTAAACTGAACAGCATAAATGATGATGTTCCCAATCCATTTTAAAAAAAAGTTTTCCTGGGCGCCTTCATGGCTCAGTCCATTAAGCGTCTGCCTTCAGCTCAGGTCATGAACCCAGGGTCCTGGGATCGAGCCCCACATCGGGCTCCCTGCTCAGCGGCGAGTCTGCTTCTCCCCCTGCCTCTCCCCCAACTCATTCTCTCAATCTCGCTCTCATGCTCTCAAATAAATAAAATCTTTTAAATAAATAAATATTTCCCCTTTCTCTTTACAAATTATATCTTTATGACTTAGAGGATAGGTTATTTTCATGTTTACTTTCTTGAGAGAAAAATATCTTCATTCCTTCATTCCATGCTTGTGAGGTTCCCCATATCTAGACTAAGAGCCATGGTCTCAGAACAGACAGGGCCCCAATTCATCAGGATGTTGTTTACTCAAGAGAGAATGTGCCAGCCCCCACACAGATTTCATTTTCTCTTTTCTCCCAGGAGTTTAAACTAAAAATAAAAGTACCGAGCACATAGTAAGCCTATTCAAAGTATGCATATTGTAATATTGTTCTTACAGTGCTCAAATTTTTTAACCAAATAAACTCAGAACCTACTTATTCCTTTTTTCTCTGCATAGTACTCTGAGCCGTAAGAACAAACACAAGAAGGCTCCTACCCAATTCATTTTATTCATTCTATGGTGTACTCTAGCTACTTACTCTTTCTTTTGTGAAATGGCATTATCTTCTTTCTAAGGCTAATTCTATCTAATCTTCACCGTGCCCAAGTGCATTATAAACCAGTCTAAATAATTTAACTTCTAAGCTTTGCAAATGGAGACCGCAGAGGTAGTCATAACTGCACTGTTCCCTGAACCATGCGCAATCTCTCCCCAAGTGAGATTTTAATCTAAAGGATTTTGAATATATACCCTTAACATGAAAAATTTTGTAATGATTCTGTGTGTTGCCTTTGATGTCCCCTAGGCTTAAAGAACAAATAATTTGCCTGTAAAGACATACAGAGTGACTTGAATATTATAAATTAAGATAACAGTATATAAACAAACTTAGCTATTAATAGCCCTGTAAACTCAGAGATCTTAATATTCTTCTGGCCCTACTAATTTATCTCCAAATATTAGAGAAATCAGTCTTGTAGGTCTATGCAGTGTGGTGAGTAGGGTCTGGGAAAATTAAGGCGTACTGGTAATCAAGAGCTAACCATATCAAACTGCAGTCTCTGTCAAACCTTATTAAATATAACTTGGAAATAATCTCATTTATTTATTAATAATCAGATGCTTGATAAACACAGATGTTTCCTAACTAGGATTTCTCTCCACCACAAAAAAGCTAGTGCCATATTTATTGCATCAGTAGGTTGCCTTGTGACCCACATTCCCATACACTGACTCTAAGTTTCATAAAAATAATTGTTTTAAAGAACCTGTTGAATTTTCTGAGGAATTCCTTAGATAGCACAGTGCTGTTTTTCCACTCATAAAGTAAAAGATTTCCTGGTCAAATGCACTCAGGTAGCAGGTATTTCTCAAAATTTTTAGTGAAGACTTACTACTTTATTTTTCAGAGATTATATTTGAAACATGGCTCAGAGTGACTTCCTCTACCCAGAGAACCCACGGAGAAGGCAGGAAGTAAGCCGTCTTCACCAGCAGCTTCTTGACTGCTTATCTGATAGTTTCCATGCCACTAATACGCTGACTGAGGTCTTAAACATGCACTTGGGGTGCACGCTGGCCTCCATCGAGATGAAAAGAGATGGGACCATCAAAGAAAACTGTGATATCATCATCCAAGCCATGATGAAAATCCAAAAGGAATTGCAAAAGGTTGATGAAGCACTAAAAGATAAGCTAGAGCCAACCCTTTACAGAAAACTTCAGGATATTAAAGAAAGGGAAACAGAGAAAATCGCAATAGTACAAAAGGTCATTTCAGTCATCCTGGGAGAAGCTACTTCCGCAGCCAGTGCTGTAGCTGTTAAACTTGTGGGCTCAAATGTCACAACTGGCATCATTAACAAGTTGGTCACTGTGCTAGCTCAAATTGGCGCTTCTCTCCTTGGTAGTATAGGAGTTGCTGTTCTTGGCCTTGGCATAGATATGATCTTCCGTGCCATCCTGGGAGCAGTGGAGAAAACACAGCTTCAAGCAGCCATTAAAAGTTATGAGAAGCATCTGGTGGAATTCAAGTCCGCTTCAGAAAAATATCATCATGCCATTGTTGAGGTCACCAACACAGTTAAACACCAAATGAAATGAACAGCCACTGTGCCATTGAAATATTTTTCTGTTTTTCTCAATAATAGTGTTTTGCTTCTTTGATTAGGTTCATTTTCCAAGTTTCCAACATGGACAGAAATAGAGTTAACAAGTTGGAAAGATGGTTTAAGGGATGTTAAAACTAGAGGACTCCAGAGTTTTGTATCAACAACGAATGCCTACGTCAGTTGGTGCTAGACCCTGCGAGGTTAAAGATTATATCCCAGGATACCTTCTTACTCTGCTCTACCAGATCAACATTAGGTTAAATGCTATTGTAGAAGAGCAGGTGTAGGGGTTACCTCTTCCTTTTCTAATTCACCACTGGCTTCAGACATCATTTATTTCTAAGGGGATGTACTTGGTAACTTCTGCCTAGACACAAACTGTGGACCTTTGAATGAAATAGAAATACTACCATAATTTTGACCTTCAGCTTAAGTCCAATTTTCAATAAACCAGAAGAGACTGAAATACGGGTTTTAACAATTTACTTCAATGATCAAAGGACGCAATGGTTGTTAATTCCACTAATTACACCCTATAAACTCGAATGGATTTTTAAAAGATAAAAGTTAAAACAAAAGATAAAGGTTGTGTTTCTATAATTGCAATCAACCCTGACCAACTGCGGTGTGATGATTAAAAAGCCCTCATGTAAATGTTTGAACACTCTGGAACATTTTAAAAAACAAACATGCAAATCCCAGCTACACGTGCATAAAATGCATTTAGGATGCAGGGGAGGAAGTTGTTACTCTTTCAGGAATTTGTCATTTAAAGGAGAGTCATAATTTATTACCTCATGAGTTTCCAGAAAAATGAAATTTCATTTTCTACACTAGCAGAATGGAGGATGCTGGGGTGCCTGGGTGGCTCAGTCATTAAGCCTCTGCCTTCAGCTCAGGTCATGATCCCAGGGTCCTGGGACTGAGCCCCACATCGGGCTCCCTGTTCAGCAGGAAGGTTGCTTCTCCCTCTCCCACTCCCCTTGCTTCTGTTCCTGCTCTTGCTATCTCTCTCTGTGAAATAAATAAATAAAAATCTTAAAAAAAAAAAAAAAGAATGGAGGATGCTGTTCTTGCTACATAAAACTTTAGGTGCCCCATTTCATTAATTATCTGATCTCAGAAAAATCCAGAGGCTAAGGAGGCCTAATGGTTCAGTTAACTTCTGCAGACACAAGTGTTTCCTAAATCCTTCACCAACCAGTAACTTCCCATTGTGACTCTTAGGTTCTACTTACATAATCATTAAGTTTGGTGTTTGTTATAGTTGATTCTTGCATCTAAGTACAAGGAATGTGTTGAAATTTTAAAAAGCTAAGCAAGCATATGTCAAAAATTCAGAAGCTAGATGAAAGACTTTAATTTTTCAAATGGACTCTTCATATTTCTCTTCTGTCACTGCTTTTTAAAATTAGTTGCAAAACTAAATTAGTTCACCTCCAAAATTAAACTTTATTACTTAACTTACAAGTTCTAAACTACAAGACCTTGTTATTGCTTTTCCTGGGACTCAAAATTCGGCCTAAAACCAAATCAACAATTTTCTAAGACAAGAATTTTCAAAGGCTTCTACCTTAGTTTAGGTAAGGAACCCATCTTAAATGGTTAAGTGCACATTTAAATATTCTGCTGTTAAAAATTATGCAAATTTTAATTTACATAAATGTGTATCTCTTTCAATATTTTGGAATATTTATAATTAACAGTAAATACTGACCCATAGCTAACATATTTTCCAGTAAGGGATATTTAGATCAGAAATAACCAAGGGTATCTCTTAAAAATAAAATGTTTAAATATTTAAACTTACCTTTAAGGGGGAAAAGATAGGGTAAGAGTCTTAGACAAAGAGAGGACAGAAGAGAAGGGTTAAGGACGAAGACTAGACCTAAGTGATAATCCGTATATACGTATAGTGACATCATAAAGGACTTCTAGCTGGTGAAAAGACCAACAGGGAAGAGAAGCCAAATATAAAGGAACCTCGCCAAGCGTAAATTTAAAACTGACTGCACATGTATCCCCACATTTCCTGTCGATTACTGTAGATTACTTTATCCGTAGATGAACAATCTGGGGCTCTAACACGGGCACTGATTTATTTGCTCCGGTCTACATATGTTCTGTGTGCCTATAAACTTCCAGACGGACATGACGCCAGGAAAGCGCAACAAACGGAGTAGCAAATGTTATTCAGGGATCCATTTTCAAACAGACACAAGAAATCGCATTCGCTTACATCATGAAAAAACAAAATCCAAAAACTAATACAATTCCACCCTACAGAGACAGGAAAACAGCTCCCTAGCCGGAATCAGCCGGTCTCGTTCATTCCAATAAACGCAGCTTCCGGAAATTAAGTCAAACTGTCTCGCTCCGAGAGGCAAAGTCGTCTTCTCATCAGCCAATCACCTATCCGACCCGCTTCATTTTTCTTTTATTTCTATTGGTCTAAAGAAGTGTCAATTGACATGTTTCTGCGTAACGGGGGTGGGACCTTAGCAGAGAATCAGCCAATTCGGTATCGATTTGGAGCGGAAGAGACTCTGGTCCTGGAGTTCTTGGGTACTCTCTATGGTGCCAGGGCGAAGAAACGCTAAGATCGTGGACCCTTAGGGGTAGGAAGTGACGTACGGATGGCGGAGGGGCGCGAGCTTTCAAGATGGCGGTGGCTGGGTGGCTGACCGGCACACAGAGGTGAAGGCCCCTACGAGGTAAAAGACGCCGAGAACCGTCCCCTCCCCGCTTCTCGCAGTGCCAGGAGTCCAGCAGAAGTGTGAGTGTGCCGGATTGTTTCACTCCGTTTCTTCATCTTTTCCCGCCTTGCCCCGGGTCCGCGCGGTTGCCTCGGGGACGCCAGGCCCCTCTGCTCGGTTCTTCCTCTTCGCGGTTTGGGTCTCCCGGGTCCCGGACCGGGGGATCGTGGAGCCAGGAGCGGTGCGGCTTCCAGCAGTTAAGCAGCTGTTCATCCGAGTCGGTTCGCGCCGCCTCCTGCCTTTGCTCGTTGACCGGTTACTTTAGCTTTGACGTCTTCTTGTACCTCGAGTCAGGGTCAACCGTCGCTATGGTTTCGGCAGTTGCTGCTACTGTTACTTCTTTTGGTGGATCTGGGCTCCGTCCCACTGCAGCCTCTTCGGTTCTGTGGCCCGATTTCCCTATCGTTTCTGCTTTTAGACAAAAAGTAGTTTGTGCACGCTAAGGCTCCATTGTCTTGTGTAGAAATTCTCTGTAATTCCTATCTGTTCTTTGTTCTACTTGTGGGAGAAGAGGGTCAGAACAGGAGCCCGAGGGTAATTGAGAGAGGACAGCAAAAAAGATAAACAGGCCATCAAAGACAGGAGAGCCGATTTATACTAATTTTGTTTATTTCGGCCTCCCTTCTCCCCCACTCCCAGTTTTTCTGAGAAGGAAACCCTGGACAGGTTAAATTAGTTGCCACTGGAACAGCTCTGAAGCATTTAGCAGAAATGAAGGCATTAACTAATCAACTTTTCTGACAAAAATCTTCAAGGAAGAAGGGAAGGTATAATTAATTGTATGGGCTACTGAAAAATTTACCTCATGATCTTCCCTTTCACACCCTTTAAAAGTCTACTTTCAAAAGGAGGTAAATTTGTCAACTTTATTATTGGGAAGAATATTAAAAAGTTAAACGACTGGAATAAGAGAAATAATATAATAGTGTCTTAGGTTAATAAAAATTTTGACTTGCAAAACATTTTCTCTCAAATACAGTCATCCCTTTCAGTTACCATAAAAAATAGAAATCAGGAGTCAAGTAGGTACTGGTAGAAAAATATGTGTCTTGACGTTTTTGGACTCTACTCCTTCATGTAATACTTTCATTTTTAATATTTGCACTTTCAGTTAGGTCTTAAGCTCCTCAGAGTCAAGAATTATATGTGAATTAGAACTAAATTTGAATTAAACAGGCTTAAATTAATGAGTTTATACTATCTTACAGACGTTGAGAATACATGTGAAGAAAACCATGGAGAGAGTCAAGGGTGACATTTGTTGTTGAACCCAGATCATTACCCCCATTCCCTTTTTATTCCTCTTTCACCCTACATGTAAACAAAGGGAGGGTGTAGGAAAAGGACTAATGGCTTTTCATATTCATGGTTTATCCCATATTGTTGAAGCATTTTCTGATGGATTTTTTTTTTTTTCAATTTCAGAGTCAGTCCGTGATCCATTTAAAAAAGTTAATAAAAGGAATGTTACTTTTAAAGAGATTGGTAGAAAGAAATTTCATAATATAAAAACGAAGAAATTCTGTAAATCAGAAGAATAAGCTATTTCTTTGTCTTTGTAGGTTTTTTTGTTTTAATGAACAAGTAAATCATACAAATTGTCAACATGGGACGAAGATCTACATCATCCACCAAGAGTGGAAAATTTATGAACCCCACAGACCAAGCCCGTAAGTGTCCATTAGTGTGGAGTGATAAAAATTCCAAACACCAGAGAATCTATTATGTCTTAATTATAAAATCAGCATTGCTAGGAGTCAGTTGTATAAAGTTATCCAGTGTTGTGGGCACATGATGAAAACTTTGAACATGCAAAAAAATACCGATATTTTTAATTTGATTGACTTGCAAAGTAGAATTGGCTTGAAACTTTCTGTATTTGAAATTTTGGATAGATTAGTTTTGAGAAGGTTAAAACAAAAATTTCCTCAAGGTTTTGGTTGGCATAATTAAAGGCTGCTATTGGCATCTGGTGGGTAGAGGCCATAGATGCTGCTAAATACTCTGCAGTGCACAGGACAGCCTCCCACATTAATTTTTGTCTGTATTAAAATGGAGAAAATGCTAGCGTTCAAGATTTGAAAGTTTTATATTTTCTCTGTCTCTTAAAGGAAAAGAAGCCCGGAAGAGAGAATTAAAGAAGGTAGGATTTCAGAAGCATCCTGTTAGCCACAAGTGATGTTTGGCACATCTTATTATTTGGGATTAATGGATTTCAAAACAATATTTACAATTA